TTTTTCCTTTTATGTTGACTTATGGGTCCCTTCTCTAAATCTATAGGATCAGCATCTCTGAGTGTGGAACCTGGGAATTAGCACTTGTAAGGGGCTTCCAAGGTGATCCCTATCGTTCACGCTCATGTTTAATAATAAATACTTCCTCCGAGAATCACTCCCCATCCATCCAGAGTGCTCAAGTTGTCAGTGACTGAGATCTCCTTAGGCCAGAAGAACAACGCAAACCACAAACCAGAACCACACTAAGTGAACTCAGTGGGACCAACCAGTACGCCACTCAGGGATGGGAAGCCACAGCACCATCCTGCTGCCGGGGCTTGCCTGAGTTCGGGGCCAGTCATCAGCACACTCCATGTGACTGGAGCAAAGGAAGACACTAAATGGAAGTGGCGTCTGAGATGACAAGCTGGGGACGTGGGTGAGGCTTGTAGAGGAGGAAACGAGGGGAGGGGACCGGGAGACATGGAAGCTCAGAGATGAGGTATGCTTGGATATTGCTCTAGATGTTGTAAACATTTCTCTGTCTCATCACAGACCAAAATCTGGGTGAGCATGACAGAAAGTGCCTAAGAGGAGGTACCAGAGCAAGAAGCTCTGCCTTCTGTGAGAAGCAGGGGAGATAGGGTATGTGGAAAGCCAACCACATGGGAAGATCATGTCTGCAGTGTACTACCCAAGACTCACAATTCACACACACACACACACACACACACACACACACACACACACACACACACACACACGAGATGCTCCATGGGAGTACCATAAATAGAACTATCTGCTTCTCTCCACAGACAAACTCACGTGCCCTTGTCTATGTAGCTCCAAAATTCAGGGTACTCAGACTTGGTCCTTTGTACCTCCCATGGGTCACCAGGGTGTCAGGACATCACCATCTGCAGCCTTCCTTCTACCAATAGTTGGCAGGAACTCTAGGCCCCCGAATGAGGGCGCCACACAATGAGTATGGAGCCTTTTTGCCTTGGGATAGCGGAAGTGGTGAGAAAGCCCGTCCCAGCACATCCCCATCACGGCAGGTCCAACTCATATGCACCTCATATCGGACAGCAGCATCGGCATCAGATGCACATTTCATATGTAAACAATGTTTAAAATACCCTGTTAGAGAATTTAATCGTTACATTAATTCTGGCAGCTTTAGCTAAGAATATTTTTGTATCAGGGTGGGGCAAGCTATCTGACCTAACTAGGAATCCCATTTGAAGCTTCAGAGTTCTTACTAACTGTGACTGCCACGGAGCTCTCTAGGTGTGAGGCCTAGGAAATAGGTTTTGTTTTTGTTTTGTTTTGTTTGTTTCTCTCCTGGAGGTTCACACACAGACACCAACATCCACTCACAGGTGACGCTATATACCCCTAGGCGGGCAGTTGGCACTAACACAATAGGACTCAAGGGCCTTCTTAGCCTTGTCTGAGTGCAACCAAGGAAGGAACTGATTCTCTGAGACCAGAATTCAAACCCTAGAATATCTCAGATGGGCTAGGATCCCACAAAAGAAAGTGTCAGCCCAACCTTCCAACACCTACTTTCCAGGGCAGCCCGGCCACGGACTATTTCATTCACTCGAGCTGAAAAGCCCGTGGCTCTTCGATGAGCCCAAGTTGACAAGTGGTGAATTATCTCAGCAGCGCCTCCACCACAGTCCCTGTGATGCAGGTCACCCAGAGTCCAGCAGCTCCCAGGCTCATCTTCCATATTCTGGTCTCTCTGCTGAAGATTCATCCCCCTGTCACTGTAGGAGATGGCAGGGTCAGATTTCTCCTGGATAACTGCAGAGATTCCAAGCTGCTTTATGCCTCCTCCAACAGAGTGTATCCTGGTACATTTCCAAGATACCCCAGGGTACCACACAAGCATTGTAGGAAAGTTTCCACAGCCTGGTGTTCACAGTGATCTTCCCAGTTCATGTTCAGTCTCAAAGGCCAGAGACCAAGAAGGCAGCTATCTCTCAATGGTCAAGAGTGGACCCTTCCTAAGAAAGTATGCCCAGGAAGCAAGCTGCAGTGAGAATCTCAGCCTGAGGTCCCATTCTCCCCCACCATAGTGACAGGGCCTGTATAGGAGGAGGGATAGGAAAGCGTCAGGCACTAGGAAAGCTGTCATGCTATGGGGATTTACCTCCCTTTGCCAAACTGTCTTTCATCCTAAGAGCCCAGGGATGTGTGATGCCATGGGGAGGTGAGGACACAGAATACAGTAGGTGATGGACAGGTTATATGGAGCCTCATTGCACACAAGTCCACTGATGCTACCTTCCCAGGTCACCCCGCTTCTAGAGAAGTTCTTGATCAACTGAAGAAGATTCACAGTCTCTATCTTTCAAAAGGACAGCTCCACTTAGAAGCGATGAGAGAACTCTCCCAAGACCCTTTCTGGAGTTGCAAGTGTAAGGAAGTTCATTGAATTCCTTAGGCTAAGAAGGGACCCCAGACTCTCATATTGGTCCTGTGGAAACAGAAGACACAGCCAACTCCGGGGAATAAGTCCTCCGTCAGAGGTTTGCCTGCCGACCTAGGAATCTGAAATCCCAAAGAGACCTCTCTTCTAAGTTGTGAGGTCCGGGTACTCAGGTTGGGCCACTGGTTTGTGGCAGCGAATCCCTTAAGTGGGAACCTGAGTCTTCTCGCTACTCCTCCCTTGGGTAAAGGACAAGGTGAAGATCAGGAATCCTACTGAAGAGGGTGGGGCGTGGATGTGATGGGAACTGCACTTTTTGCATTATTTACAAATAGCCCGGCACAGTGAATCTGCCTTCTCAGCGGAGAGGATGGAAGGCATGTGAAGGGGCCAGTTACCGGCCCACCCAGAGAAGGATGTCAGCAGCAGTGCTACCTCTAACCCGAACACAAATCTGGGGACGTGGAAGAGAGCCCCAGCTCCAGCAGCTGGGTCCGACTTTGGAACAGCCCTCCATTCCCTCGTTACCCCCAGTCTCCCACCCCAAACCCCAGCGCCTTCCGACACCTATGGCATTTCACGTTAGAATATGGTCTTGGCAGCAAGGAGCAGGGAAAGCCGGTGACTTCCGAGAGTCTCCATCCGAGGTCTAACTGAGCCTCCTCTGGCTCTGGGACAGCAGATCTAAGTACATTTTGGACCTCAGGAACCTGGGGTAAGAGTCTTTCTCCATGAGGCTGTGCACTTTCCCCTGAGCTTGGTCGAAACAAGTCAGGGATGGCTCCTGCACGTTCTTCCTCGTAGCTTCTCGGGTCTGGAAATCGATATTCACCTGGAGAGACAAACAGAGAGCAAGGTCACAGGCCCTCGGAGGCCAAGGTACCCACTGGACAATGATCCCAAGCTACAGAACAACCACCAATGGCAGTATCTCACATCTTCAGGGTCAGGGATGCTTCTCAAACTGCTTTTTATAGGGTTCATTCCTTGGGATTCCAGCAGGAAGGCTGTGCAGTCTGAAGTCCAGATAATCTTAAGTTGTAAATAAGGTAGGTAAAGAAAAGAGAGACCAGCTGGGTTTGGTGGCGCACGCCTTTAATCCCAGCACTCAGGAGAGGCAGGTGGATCTCTGTGGGTTCAAGGCCAGCCTTGTCTACATAGTGAGTTCCAGGACAGCCAGCATCATGTAAAGAAACCACGTCTCAGTAGTAGTAGTAGTAGTAGTAGTAGTAGTAGTAATAGAAAAGAAAGAGAGAGAGAGAAGGGTAGAAAAGAGAGACTATGAAGCTTCTCTAAAATATGTGGATTTAGTACCAGAACTGTGACAAGAATTCTCAAGTCAACAAATCCTAATCAAGAATCTTCATGCCACACTAAGGTGAGTCTCAAGCCAGCTGTTAATGAAGGTTCCCCTAAGCTTTCTCTCTCTCATTCTTTCTTAGCCACCAAGGCCAACAGGTGCTCAGTATAGACAGACCGTGGTAAACACACATGTCTCTGTATGTCACTATTAGGGGCCAATAGCATTCTACCCAGCTTGTAAAGATCTCACATCCCGAGTCAAAACTGCACCTCAATACAGATAGCAAACTGTCCATCAGTTAAACCCTCTGGAGAGACATGCTGGATTAAAACTCAGAACAATAGTTATAATACAGCAATGAAAGTGACTACAGATATTCATTTATGAGCAATGGCAAACACTCAGTAGGGCTTTACCTCTAACACGTAGGGTAGCCTTGAGAGGTGAGTGGCATTATCTTCTCTTACATTGGGGAAACTGAGGCTCAGAGAGGTTGAATAAATTAAAGATGGTCACACACACTGGCAGAACTGAAACTGCAGACAAAATCCTTTAAAAGATGGTACTTATTCCATTAAGTCATGCTGCCCTTGAGAGCTTTTTATTGTGTGTCTATGTGTCTAGTGGTGTGTGTGTATGTCTGTGTCTGTGTGTGTGTGTGTGTGTGTGTGTGTGTGTGTGTGTGTGTGTGTGTGTGTGAGTGAGTGCTCACTGGTCACAGGACAATTTGCAGGAGTCATGTCTCTTCTTCTATCATGTGGGTTCTAGAGGTCACACTCCGGTCATCAGGCTTGGCAGCAGGTGCCTTCACTCAATGAATCACTCCAGCCACCCCGGGCCACTTTTAATAGGAAAGCAGACATGGGCTCCTGGGAATTCACTCTTGTGAAATCACTGGGAGAACACAACCTGCCTAACACGTGACGGGCAGACAGCAAAAACACTCCTAAGGTGGCTCCTTTCATGAAAACCCTGATCTTCCACTCCTCAAAAGGTACCGCTTTCTCCTCAGGATCCACCTGAGTTGGGAGGCCCATGGGGGCAGGAGGAAATCCCGTGGGCTTGGCTCAGATGCCCTCCAAGACCTCAGGAGACAGTTGCCGTGATCAACGCACCTCTCGAGGAGCCTGCACATCCACAAACTCCTCAAAGATCCTGTGGGCCTTGGAGACCAGCTTTGCCGTCGACCTGGTCTTCTTGAACTCCTCGCAGGCCAGCCAGAACTCCAGGTTCTCCTCGCTGAACTCCGTCTTCAGGAAGGCACGGAAGGCCGCCACCCCATCTACAGGTGTGGAAAGAGGTGGGAAAAAAAGACAGGGAAGAAGAAGCCTAAGTCCGAAACTGAAGATGAAGAGCAACCGTACTATTATGATGGTGTCCTCACTGTCCAAGCCTGCGGCTCTCCCCGCCACACACACACCCCTACACAACCCTCGATGACACACAGCTACCCTCAGAGCAAGCCAGGCTTCTCGTCCAAGGACCGGTGTGAAGTATCAGAGAGAGATGTTTAAAATCCCATAGTAATGACATTAGTGGGCAAGCTTGGTTACTACTGACAAACCCTGCCTGTCCATCGATGCCGCGGGTCTGCCCGTGAGCCCTTATTGTTCACCAGGCTAAGGTCACAGGCACTTGACATTCTCTGCCCTAAGCCGAGTCCACACCGGAGAGAAGACATGGGCAGTTGTAAGACAAATTGGACAGGAACACAAATGTCTCAGAGCCAACCCTTTACCACGATCAGAAACACATCCAACAGAAATTCAATCCGAAATACAGTCTGCTACGTGGACAGATGTCTCTTTTAGGAAACCCCCGAGGACGTGTATTTGGTGCTCTAATTTATTCGTTTTTAGTTGAAATTTGCCTATCAAATTAGATTTTAAAAAGTTTTAAAGATTACGTGTGTGTGTGTGTGTGTGTGTGTGTGTGTCTCTGTGTGTGTCTGTGTGTGTGTCTGTGTGTCTGTGTCTGTGTGCAGGTCAAAGGACGACTTGCAGGAGACAGTTCTCTCCTTCCCCATGTGGGTCCTGGAGATGGTCCTCTGGCCATCAAGCTTTGTAACGGCTGCATTTACCTGCTAAACCATCTCGCTGACCCGGATTAGACGCTTTAATTGAGGCTGATTATAATTTTCCTGCCAATTTATCTAATGGCTAAGCCAGCCTTTCCTCTTACTAATCAATGTCATCTGTACTGCCAAGCAATGTTTCCAGTCCACACAGATAAGCGAGGGAGGGAAAAAAAAAACCAGCTATTTATAGCTGTACTTGCAATAGCGCTTTTATTTGGAAAAGTTTATAATCAACTGTCTCAACTCTTGACCCGTTCTCTTCTGTCGGGATGATAATGGCAGCTTTCTAGAAAGGGTCCTCAAAGCGAAGAGCACCCTAGAACAAGATGCCAAACTGGGTAAGAAAATTACTCAAAGACCATTTTTATTTCTTTTGTAAGGTTCGTGTTACCATTTTGGGTACTGGGCACTAAACCCAGTCCTCTCGTATATCATGCCAGTGCTCTGCCCCTGAGGTATGGGGCATCTCTCTTCCTTTCTATTTTGGCCTTTAATTCACTCCATAGCCCGAGCAGGGCTCAAATTTGTAAACGTCTTGCCTCAAGCCTCCTGGGTGAGGCTTGGCTGACATGACAGGCTCACACAGCTGATCCTAGCTCAACAACCCCCCTCTCGTGTGTGTGTGTGTGTGTGTGTGTGTGTGTGTGTGTGTGTGTGTGTGTGTGTGTGCTGCATACACCTGAGTGTGCAGGTGTACACATCCGTGAATGGGCGTGCTGGGACCGGAACAGGAGGCTGGGTGTCTTGAGAGACCGTCTCTCACTGAGGCTGAAGCTGGTTTCTCCTAAGTGGATTCCTAAGGCCAGCAAGCCCTCAGGAGTCAACTGCCTTTCCTCACCAATTCCGAGGCTACAGGCATGTCCAGTCAGGCCCGGCCTGTAACATGAGTGCTGGGGATTTGGACTCAGGTCATCATCCTTGCAAAGAAAGCAGTCTTACCCACTAAGCTATCTCCCAGGCCCCAGTGCTTTTTAATTCTATGTCATCGATGACATGGGCATCTGAGAATCACCGGCATATACCAGGAGAGGACACTAGCCAAGACAATTCCGTGGATTGTTGGTACCATGTGATTTAAAGCATTTATTTTTAAATATTATTATTGTTGTTGTTGTTGTTATATGTGTTTGTATAATGTGTGGGGAGGGGTAATGTGTAATATGTCATGTGGTAGTCAGAAGACAACTTTGTGGGGTTAGCTTTCTTATCCACTTTTATGTGGGTTGTGGGACTTGAACTCAGGTCATTAGGTTTGCACAACTGAGCCATCTTCCTGGTCCTAAAATGTTTATTCTAAAACATTTTTATTTCTCCTGATAAAAAAAATCATTGTACATCTTTGTCTTCTTTTGCTTATTTATATTTATTCATTTAGACTGAGACTTACTACGTTGTAGCCTAGGCGTTCCTCAAACTTGCCATCCTCCTGAGTACTGGGGTTACCACTACGCCTTACCCAAAGTAGGTACTTCAATGTCCACACTAGAACAACAGTCATAAAGGCTACAACCTTTTATGGCAAGAGCCAGGGACTTGAGAAAGAAAAGCATTTTCATGGGGGCTCCCAGAGCTAAGCTTTGAACCACAGATCTAAGTGTGGAGGCCTGCCTTAAAGTGTTGAAGCCAAGTAAGGTGGTTTTGTGATTTATCATCTCATCCTGGAGGTTTCTGCGCTGAAGGGACGCCATTGTTTACTGCATGGGATGACTGGCTTAAGCCAGCACCAGAGGCAAGGCCCAGGACATACCCAGTGAAGAAAGCAGAATATCATACAAGGCTCCTTCACACTGGGCAGGATGGAGCTAAAAGTCTTCCTGTGCCAGGGGAGGAAGAAGAGAGTGATATGATTTAGGTTCCAGAGAGAGAGGGAGAGATGTTCTGGGTACCTTCCATGCCCACTCCTACATAGGTCAAACCTCCACAAGAAAACAATAGGAACACAGCAAGCTGGGGATCCGAGAGATGAAATGATGAGTCGCAATGTTCAGGCCTGAGAATCACTTACACTGTTTGATACGGGTTTCAGACTAGCGGACTACACAGTTCTGTTCAAGATGCCGCCAGCGGCGCAGGCTACAAGCAAAAGTTGGATGGGATACTGTGGAGGACCATCCCCCACATTTAATACCCCAGGGGCTCTTCAGGAATGCGGGATGAGAGATTTAGTTAGAAATGGAGAGGAAAGAAACAGAGAGAAAACACAGAATGGACTCGGGTGGGCCTGGATGCTTATCCACCGGCCCAGAACTTTATTCCAAAGGTCAGTTTATAACAATGCCAAGGGGTGGAGCAAAAGACCTCCCCCTTGCTAGTTACAGTCACCTGGTACCCAGGCCCGTGATCTAATCAACTTCTTAGGCAGTCCTGCTGGGTACAGCCACCAGAAAACCTAGTGGGCTCCAACAGGATACATCAGAGAACAAATCATAAAATTACTGCCCATTAGCACCCTGCAGATGCTCTTTTTGGGACCCCTTCCCACATTCTGTACCCTCAGAGTTCCCCATGGAGGAAACATGGACATTTCCACATGCCCTGGAGTAAGCAGATTTGGTTACAAGCATGCACTCCAGGAGACACAGTTACAGATGGTCCTCTGTGGTGGAAGCTACAAGCAGAGGTTAGATGGGGAGACAGCATCAATCACCCTCAGATCCCAGAAGGGGCTGGGTCAGCAAGAGAGGACTCTGAGCTGTCACCCACAGTGGACACAGGAAGACCCAAGGACCACAGAGTCTCCTCACACCCCCCCCCATCTTCTTTCCCTGAAGGGATTATTTTTCTTAATAAAATAATTTTGACTGAGCATAGAAACTATACATAATAATGAGATAATATTTGTTTGTTCTATACATTGTATAATATTTAAATCGAACATTTAAATACTTACCCTTTCTGGGTGGTAAAAAATTTCAGAATACTTTTAACTTTTAAAAATGTACAACACATTTGTTTTGGTTTGGTTTAGAGACAGTCTCACTTTTTAGCCCAGGCTGACCTGGAACCCACTACGTCCCCATACCAGCCTCAAACTCATAGCAATCCTCCTGCCTCGGCTTCGAAAGTGCTGGGATTGCAGGCATCATGTCTGGCCTGTATAATACACTGCGATATACAGTCACCCTACTGTGCACTTGCACCCCGGAATTTCTCACTCCTTTGGAACTACACCTTTTGGCCAGCCCTTCCAGGGCCCTCTCTCCCTCCCTCCCCCCCAGTTCTTCACAGCCCCCCATGTGTGCTCAACACGATGTACTCTTAGATGTCACAGATGGGCGTGTGGTCTTTGCCTTACCTTCACCCACTCTCCTCTGCAGTCAGGAGAGGGCTGAGAAAGGGGACGTGGATGACTCCAACTGCGCCTTTATCTATGTGGTTCTCTGCCTTCCTAATGCTGCGACCCTTTTATACAGTGACCCCCCCCCCAACCATAGCATTATTTTTGTTGCTGCTTCATAATTGCAATCTTGCTACTGTTGTGAATCATAACGTAAATGTCTGTGTTTTCTGGTGGTCTTAGGCAATCCCTGTGAAAGGGTCCTTTGACCCTGAAAGGGGTCGTGACCCACAGGTTGAGAATTACTGATTTAGAAGCACTCAGAGGAGCTTGTGGCTGTTTGGAGGCCAGAGGTAGCTACATTCCTTGAATGGGAGAGTTCAAGTTCGCTGTTTTGTTTTCCTTTAAACAAAAACAGATGCTTAAGAACCCAGGGAATGTAGTCGCAAATAAAGAATATGACATTCAGCTTTCCCCCGGTATTGGTCATCAGCTATGTTAAGGAAAGTCTACGTGGCCCCAGCTCTCTTGTCTCTGGCCCCAGCACAGACCTTATCTCTCTTCACCTAGATCCCAGCTTTGGTGGGTCCTGGTACGATTAGAAAAAGCTTACACCTGTAGTGTGCTCCCTGATGCGGCTTTCCTCCTCCCAGCTTACAGAGAAGGATGTGGAAGCTGAGAAGCAACTCGCCTGACCTCATACCTGACAACACACAGCATTGGAGATTAAGGTCATTAAGCCCCAGACCCCTGGAATAACAACTCCATTTTTATTGATTCATGCATTCACCCTGCCGGGTGACCCAGCCGTTCCACCAGGGGCAGAGAGCAGACACAATGAAGTATTATACACACCGTGGGCTGAGCATGAACAGTTGTCTCTTTTTGCTTCCTGAGTAAGGATGTAATATGATCAGCCACCTCACACTTCTGACATCATGACTTCCTCGCCACCCTAGGCTGTGCCCTCAAACCATAAGTCCAAACAGACCCTCCCTCAAGTTATTTTTGCCAGATACTTCACACAGCAGTAAGAAAAATCACCAATATACCCATCCAAAGGTAGACTGAGACAAAAAGAAGAAAACATGGTTATGACGATCATGATACGGTGGGTACGTTATGTGGTTGGAAAGGACCCTAAATGGGTACCTGCTCCAGGTCTGAGGAGAGAACAAAGACCTGCAAGGAGACACTCCTCGGCTGCTGGGGGAAGTGAAGGAGAAGGAAGTAACGTGAAAGAAGGAAGGGGGTGATGGAGAAGGAAGAGAGAGCCGTAGGCACAAAGGCGAGAACTTTAAAACACGCCTTAGAGCAACGTGAAATGCTTTAGAAAGATCAGTAGTTAATAAGAGATCAAACTGACTGGGCCTGCCTTTCAGACGGGCCTGCACAGAGAGACCTGTGAAAGAGCCAGAGAGATGGAGGGCTGGCACAGCACGGCAAAAGGCCAGGAGGGAGAACTCTGCACCAAGGAGGAAGTGGCCGCTGCGTGCAATGCCTCCTCGAGGTCAAGCTGGACGGAGAGTGGAAAGGTCGCGTGGATGCAGTGCACCGTGTCAGAGGTGTGCTGCAGCCCTGCCTGTGCTGTGGTAGGTACAGGGGTGAATGGGGAAGAGGAAGTGGGAAGCCTTCGTTCGGACGTCTCCGGCAAGAAGGGGAAACGGAGAACAGAGAGCATCACTGAGAGGAACCGTGAGGCCGGAGTTTCTCTGCTTGCTCTGGAGATGGTTTGGAGTGCATAAAAATGTTGATATGATGAGGAAAGATGTGTTGAGTAAACGGGAGTTAAAGGGAGGCAGAGAAAGTGGCCTGAGCACAGAATTATGAAGGTGAGAAAGAGGAACGACCGTGTGGGGCAGCCTCTGCTTTAGGGCGGAAAGCAGGATCCTTACCTGATAGCAGCTGCGGGAGAGATGGGGCTATGGAAGGCGGGGTTTTTACATTTATTCATTTAGGAGCGGGGTGACAGAACTTTACCGTATCTCAGGCTTTTTGTTCGAGATTTTACAAAAGCCCAGCTGAATTTATCCACACAACAATGTTGATCAGTAGTAGGGTAGCATCTCTTCATTCATTCACAGCATATCTTCTTCATTCTCCATAGGGAGGGACCAAGGGGGCCGGTGGTCTGGCTCGGTAGGTAGCGTGCTAGTCTTGTACACAGGGAGCCCTAGTTCCCATCTCCAGCAGTGCATAAAAGTGGGTGTGGTGGTACGCGTCTGTAATCCCATGATCCCAGCACAAAAGAGGTGGAGGCAGGACAAGCAGAAGGTCAAGGTCATTCTCAGCTATGTGGTGAGTTCAAGACCAGCCTGAGCTAAATGCGATAAGAGGGGGAGAGAGGAAAAGGAAAGAAGGATGGGGAAGGGGAAGGGAAAGGGCAGAAAGAAACTAAAGCTTGGAGAAGTCGAATAAACGGACCCACTGCGAAGCTGGTAAGAACCAAGGTTTCCTACCAGGTCCACATGACTCCAAAGCAAGCTCTTTCCAGAGGTGTACATATGGGGGCAGGGGGAGCAGATAACGCGAGAACTCAGAGGGAAAACGCTGGAGTTGGGGAAGGTAGATTTTAGAGAGGGACTGAGAAGAAGTGGGAGAGCTTGTCTTCCCTGAGGACGAGAGCAGACCAACAGAAACGATGATGGATGAAGACAGAATCAGTCAGGAAGGGGACAGATTTGAGATGCAGCAAGCTGAACAGCCTTGCTCTTGATTAACTTGGGGGTGAGGTTGCTGGGAATGAGGCGACACTAGGCGAGTACTAGGCTTTGAGCTGCCGCACAAATAAATCATATAACATCACCACTTCACAGAACTCTCCAGGCAGCCTAATGTAACCAGCATTAGGGAATAATGTAAAACAATGGATTGCATCATTTTAAGTGTGTTATAGACCTAGGAGAGAGGAAAAGATGGAGAGCAGCCAGCTGCCGTGGGGGAAATGCATGTAAGTGCAAGAGGAAACAGAAAACAATTATGAAACCTTAAACTTTGGGTCCTGGGGAGAGTTTCCACGCACAAAGAAGGGAGCAAGAACTTTTAATTGGGGGATGGAGCCATCCTTCAAAAAGAGGACCATTCAGTCCAGGCTGCTGAATAGACCTTGACCTTAGAGAGCAATAATTTGGCAGCTGGAAGTTAGAACACAGAAAGGCAGAAGAACAGTGGGAGTTTGAAAAGTGCTGAAGTCAAAATGCACGTCTTACATCCCTCTCTGCAAACATTTACTGAGCGCTTACTTCAGCCACACCAAGTTCGTTCTAAACCTTACAGCATTTTTTCCTCATCGTAGATCCATAGCACAGATCTTGATGCTTTTACCGTTTGAGAGGAAAGACAAACAAAGCTTGGGGAAGGTAAATAACTTGCCACAATCACGTGATTAGTTAGTGGCAAGAATGCCAAATTAAGAAGCAAGCATTGGGGCGCTGGAGAGATGACTTACTGCTCTTGCAGAGAACCCAGGTTTGATTCCCATCACCTACATGGCGGCTCACAAGCCATTTGTAACTCCAGTTCCAGAGACCAAACTTCTCTTCTGACTTCTTGGGACACCAGACACACATGTGATGAACATGCATACATGAAGGCAAAGTGCTCATACACATAAAATAAAATAAATAAATCTAAAATAAAGAAGAAAACAACATTAGTATATGTGTTGATGGGCTGTCTCCAGACCTGCAGGACCTGGGTGGGGCCTAAGAGCTGCTGAAGGGGTAAGAGAAGAAGGAGTCCCATGCAAGGCCATGGGAACACTGTGGACGGTACATTTCTAGGAGTGACATCAGAGGGTGGGCTGGGGACAAAAAGAAGAAAGTCACTTAGGTAGAGGAGGATCCGATTCAAAGAACAGCACAGAGAAACGAAGATGGGTGTGCTCCTCAGATCTGGAGAACGGCAATGCAGGGGGCTGAATTCGCTGCACAGGTTGGAAACTTGAAGGGATGTGTGTGGTAAACTCCTGGGCGGCTCGGCAGCACCCATGGTTTCGCAGGCAGCCTGCCAACGATTACCAAGCCTACCCCCTGAGTAGAAGCCGCACAGGACTCTCTTGAGAATGAGCACAGCCAAACCCACACTTAGGTACGACCGTGTACAACACATTCAGCTTTACGGGTCTCGTCATCCTCCCTGTAAAAGGAGGGAGCAGACGTGAAGACTTTTCCCAGGTAGAGTTACTGCTCTGTTCTGTACTCATCCCAACTTAGCCCTGTCCTCATCAGGTGTGGCTCTTAGCCAACTGTGGTGGCTTGAAAGAAAACGGCCCCCCAAAGGGAGTGGCACTATTGGGAGGTATGTCACCGTGGGGGCAGGCTTCGAGGTCTCTTGTGCTCAAGCTTCCCTCAAAGTGACTGTCACTTTTTCGACTTCCTGTTACCTCTGGATGTCGGATTCTCAGCTCCAGCACCACGTCTGCCTGCACGCTGTCATGCTCCCTGCCTTGATGATAATGGACTGAACCTCTGAAACTGTGAGTGTCTCAATGAAATGTTTTCATTTATAACAGCTGCCATGGTCATGAGGTCTCTTCATAATGAGAAGAAAAAAAACATAAGACACCGACCTTTGCTCCTGATTCCATCACTCCTACTCCCCATCCCTTAACACCACCACTGCCGCACACAGAGGACTTACTCCGGGCCTGGCCGTCATGAACCCAGTGCATCACTACATCAGTGCAATTAAGAAGAGGTTCCGGGCCGGGCAGTGGTGGCGCACGCCTTTAATCCCAGCACTTCGAAGGCAGAGCCAGGCGGATCTCTGTGAGTTCAAGGCCAGCCTGGTCTCCAAAGTGAGTTCTAGGAAAGGCTCAAAGCTACACAGAGAAACCCTGTCTCGAAAAATAAAAAGAAAAAAGAAAAAAAAAGAAAAAAGAAAGAAAGAGAGAGGAGGTTCCGGGCTAGAGAGATGGGTCCATCAATAAAGTGCTTGCTGTAGCGGTATTTGCGCCGCCCATGACCTTGGGCTATTGGGCCCAAAGGAGGCGGAGCTTCCTGACGTTGTATATGACCTCTTATAAGGAGTTGGAGAAGGGTCACAGGCCCCTTCTCCCTGCTCCTCCTGCCTGTGAGGTGGATTCACTCCCGGTCAGAACAGAGGATGACTTCTGCTGTCTACTCCGTTCTGTAATCGTGAGTGTATTTCCTCAATTTGTATCTTAATAAATTCTGTTACCCATTTAATAGACTCACGTGGATTGATCGTCCTGCACAAGTGTGAGGAGGACTTGAGTTCAGGCCCTCAGACTCTGTGTAAAACAAAACAAAAAGCTGGCCGGCTGTCCCAGCCTAATAGCTAAGTTCTATGTCAATGGGAGACTCTATTTCAAAAAACAAGGTGGATGGCCCCTGGCAAAAGACACATGACCCCCAATTGCATGTACATGCATGTGCAGCTACACACATATGGAGAGAGAGAGAGAGAGAGAGAGAGAGAGAGAGAGAGAGAGAGAGAGAGAGAGAGAGGTGGGCTCTGGTTTTGAATCCCACGTGACCTTGGAAAAGTACCCTACCCTCTTGAAGCCCAAGATGGAAATTTTATCTATGAAATGGAGACCATGCCAAGACTCACTGCACTGGACTGTTAACAGATCAAATAAAACAATCCATTCAAAAATGCCTAGTCCTCACTACGAGCAGTCAGTAGTGCTAGCCCTTAGAGAGGCTTGGTTTACAAAAGGAATGTGAGATCTGAGAACAGAATTGCCTGTGGTCACTAAGTCAGTAAAAGGAGCAAGGTAGATTTGCCTACACATCTGGGTGACCTCAGAGCCCACCCTCCCTAACCCAGTGATCACTGTCTCCAAGGCAGAGACAAACAGTGGCCCCAGTCAGGCAAACACACTGAGCATATGTGCTCCATGGCCCTGCAAAGGTACTGTGAGCCATTTGGCTCACAGACTTGGGGCTTATCCAGCTGGAGGACACCTCCCATCACCTTTTCTATGGTGAGAACTGAGGCCATTAGGTAGCACCAAGAACCTGGAATCTACCTGAATTCTTTCCGTCCTGCAGCATTGACTGTCAGCCTGTCACTGGTGGTCCTCCCATTGAGAGAGGGCTAACTCCTTCTTAATACGCCATCATACCTTCCCAGGCATCCTCCCCAGCCCTTAGCCAGGGACCCATGTTCCGAGAAATACACTGTTCTCTCTCTCTCTCTCTCTCTCTCTCTCTCTCTCTCTCTCTCTCTCTCTCTCTCAAGCCTCAAACTGATTGGCTGCCTGCAGTTCGGGGTGAGATCAGAGGGAATAAGGCGCTTTGAAGTTGTCAGAGATTTCAAGAGAGAGTTGGAGGGGCCGGGGAAAGGAGAAAGAATGGCCCTGTTCCCCTGGACTCTCCTGGTGTCTGGACCTGAAAAGCAACGCGAACAGATTGCAGCAAAGACATTTCAACCACCACCACAAAGGCCTGTGCGCCTGCACCTGCCCCCGGCTCTTCCTCTCAGCTCGCCCACTGTCCCTACCCACTCCCTCTCAGCCACAGCCTCCCCCTACCCTTGTGATACCCCCCAGAGCAGGTGTCACGACAGACAGGCCATGGAGGACCACTGATCGAAGAGGAAGAGATGGTCCACCCTGGAACAATAGAAGTGAGTTGTAATGGGGGTCGGGGATGAAGCGGGGCACCGCTGCTTCAGGAGCCCCGCCTCCTGCCAGGGGCAGATGGCAGGAGGGAGCAGCAGCCTCCGTATAGAAGACCACCTGCCCCAGGCCTGGCCTGCATCTCTTGCTGTTGTGACCCAGCAAGTGAATGACTGGGGACAGAAGCAGTGAGATGTGTTCCTTCTCGTTCACATCGTTCCTCCCTGCCGAGCCTCCTCCCAGCAAGCTTTTCATCTGCTCCTCCCCATCTCTCCCCAACCCCTCTCCTGTCCCTTGTCTTTTACCACCTTCTCTCCACTGCCCTCCCAGCATCCTCTTTCCCTCCAGCAGGACCCTCTCCTCTGCCTTCTGTGTGTACACACACTGCAGTTGGTTCCGAATGCAGAGTTGTGGATGCTTCGCAGAACAGCTCGGCGGCACCTGGCTGTTAGCCCTAGGGGTGGCCATGCTCGTGTTAGCAATGCTGCTGCTGACGCCACTACGGGCCTGTGCACCCTGCACACGAGCTGTGGAAGACTGGAGCTCCGATCCAGACCCCACTCCTGAGCTCCTACCAGCTTGTCTCCCACCCCTGAAGCTATCGCGTCCTGGCTCCGACACACAAACGTTGGAACGAGCTAGTGTGTAGAGACGTGTGGCCTCTCTGCTCTTTGGTTCTCACAACTAGAAAATGCAGATCCCATCCACTCTTCTTCCTCCACGGGGTTAAGGGGCATGTGATGAGTTCATACACGCCAGTGACATGCAGATCCTTCGTGTTCTGGTGGAGTCCTGATCCAGGACTCCATGTATAATGCCAAATGCAGTCCTGGCCAATTAAAGGCAGGGGACCGGCAGTGAATAGTTCGGGAAAACAGGAGGGGAGCGTGTGGGAGGTGGGGGTTCTGCCTTCTAGTCGTTTTATTTGCATTTCACTTGGGTTTTCTTTGGGTAACCCTCCCAGGAGTCAAGGCTCTGAAAACGGCATAAAGTTTTTGAGATTGGGGCCTAGCCAGCAACAGGAAGGGCCAGGCATGTGTCCAGGATTCCTGGAACAGTGGGCAGGATATTGGCGTCCTTTCGAACAGCCACAGAACCTCCAAGAACATGCCGTGGCCTCACATGCTGCCGGCTGCCGGCTTTCTCTCCCTGGTTCTTTCATGCAGGGTGCTTACATAAGGGGAGAAACTGGGTCACTATGAATGAGCAGCAGCGAGGCTGGTGCGGGAGGGAGGGTGGCTTAGGTAACAGTTCAAGGTCCAGCGGTCCCCGTTTAGCTGGCATCAAGGGTGGACTTGAGCCTCACTCAGTTCCCAGGCTCGGGAAAACACAAAAGGACAACAACAAAAAAATGTTTTTAAGCTCTGTGTTTACCGAAGAACCCTCTCAAAGACTGGCACCTCTTACATTCCTGATCAATGGGGGAAAATAACCCAGTGAATAGGACCCCGAGTCAAGCAGAGGCTAGGAACAGAAAAAATGTTTATACAAGCCAAGGTGCATAAGCTACTGGAGAAGGCAAATCCTGTTTGACTCGGAACCAAGACACGGACTTGATTTTTGTAGAGAGGGCAGAACCTTTCTCTGTGTCACCTGGGAAGCAAATTACTGTGTCTACTCAAGATTTATGTAGGGATTTTACTGAGGGAACAGACTATTTCCAGTTATGCTATTTACTGAGAGGCAACGTGAGGCTAATTGTATCTCACATTTGTGGTTACTGATTCCCTTAAATGATCTCTGCTTTATTCATATATATATATATAAACCGTGTGTGTGTGTGTGTGTGTGTGTGTGTGTGTGTGTGTGTGTGTGACAGTATATCAGAGTGACTTGTTATTGTAGGGTTGTAAGTCTCTGTGTCAAAAAGGACCTGAGAGACACCAGGATGACACCAGGACATGAAGAGGCTGTGATGTTCTGAGACCACATGGCTTCTTATTCCTAGGATACGGGAGCAGAAGGAAGGAGATCCTGGGCTATCCCAGTAATCTTACCCCAATAAAGAAGTACTATAAAGCCCCACAGACACTAGCCCATAGCCTAAAAGATCTCCAAATTCAGTACAAAGGAATATTCCTCAGATGAATTGGATGGAGGGATACTGTTGGGACTCTCAAGGAGCGAACACATCATATTTTACCTACTAGGCTTTTAAAAACTACACTCCCAGCAGGTTCTCCTACATTCACTAGGGGAGGTGGGTAGGAAGACCTGGGGGGTCCCTAAAGCTCCGGAGCTGAAAGGGCTGAGTAAGGGGAAACACCCCTGGGGTCTCTCGCTGTTCCCCTAAGCTGTTGCCTCAAGCTGTCTGTGGGATCAGTATGCTCACATTAGCCCAGGCACAGGGGCTGCACAAAATGCCTATTTTCTCAGTACAGTTAATGTGTTACAGCAAAAATAATAAAACAGCTCTCCTTCATCCAGTCCTCCGTGCACCAGTCACCCCGTTCAGCATTTGGGGACGGCGACTGTACTGAATTCTTGCACCACACAAGTCATCATTCCCCTTTCACAGATGAGGGAAAATGAGGCTCATGGAGAGTAGGTGATTGGCATAAGGTCACATCGCTGATAAAGACAAGATGGGTGTTGGGAACTTGCATGCTTGCTTCTGTTCAGACCTTTGTTTTGTTTTGTTTGTTTTTGTTTGGTTTGGTTTTTTGAGACAGGGTTTCTCTGTGTAGCTTTGCACTTTTCCTGGATCTCACTCTGTAGACCAGGCTGGCCTCGAACTCACAGAGATCCACCTGCCCCTACCTTCCAAGTGCTGGGATTAAAGGCGTGCGCCACTGCCGCCCAGCTCTGTTCAGACCTTTCACAAGCATGTAAGAGCTGCCCATAGCCCGGCACTCCTCCCAGCAAGGATAAACGCGGCACCTAGGTTCCTGGGCACGAGAACAGCTTACAGCAATGTGGACAGGACAAGGGACCCGAGATGCTTCCTTTCTCCCCATTTCCACCTCACATACCTGTGTCTAACTCAGCCTCTGCTCTGTTGGAACACCTGAAGCTGCGTATCTGTTTGCTTGTTTGTTTGTTTTCTTTCTCTCCCGTTTCTCTCTCTCTCCCGTTTCTCTCTCTCTCTCTCTCTCTCTCTCTCTCTCTCTCTCTCTCTCTCTCTCTCTCTCTTTCTTTCTCTCCTGCCTGGGGAAACCTTCACACCACACATGTGGAATCTGTGATACAGATGTGCCATTAAAGGGAGGTA